TCAGTGAGAGTGTTATCGGTGATGACGCGCTGCAGTCATTCCAAAGCATAGGTCAGTTCCGGGACAGTCGAGGAGTTTAGTCATTCGCTGTATAGAGCACAGAGGGCGGCCGCGACTGTTGTCTGCACGAGTCACTGCGCTCATCTATATTTAGGAGTCGAATGCGACGAGACTGAGATCATGGGTAGCGCGTCCTTACCGCCGCCTGCGTGGACCCGCCAGACGATCACTTGTTACATATATATACGATGTCTACGCCGCGAGAACTAGGGGCCACGCGACCGAGGCGGTCGCTAAGATGATGGTGTAAAAATTGTACAGCTTTAAAAAAAAACATTTGTATATTTTTGCTTGGACTGGAAGCGGCAAGGTTTCGACAAGCGTGATTTGCGTAGGAGTAAGATATTGTAGATGTCAGTATAGTCAGCGGATGCCTCAACAGTATACCGAATTGTTTTCATGTAATCGTATGTTCTGATATATACATAGGTACATATTTTATACCAAAAGTAAGTTGCGGCAGCCCGCTGGTGTTACTGACATCGTTGTAAGGTATTTTGAATTAGTCACGGATATGTAGTCATCACAAAATTGTATCCAATCAATGCATTAGAAGTTATTCATTTGGCTAAGTACGTTTGAAGTGTTTTATAACATAAACATCTTGTTGTGTCGTTTTCATATTTTTTAGAAGAGTATAGTTAATGCGAATATTGTCGATATGTAAAAGGAAATTTTTAAATCAATTCTTTAAATAATGGTTTTTGATAAATTATTGTAAACAAATTGAAGTATTCTTCTCGTTAAATGGATCGTTAATATTATCGTACAACCATTGCAGTATAATCGAGTGTAATAAACCTTGTAACGTTAATACATGATTAATACCATAATTGTACCTAATTGTTACTTTCTATTTGCTAGATAGAATAATCAAATTAGTTTGGGTATTAAAATCGAAGTGGAGATGTGTGACTTGGATGAACGAACGAGCTCTTCGTGTGTGTATAGTGAATGTTTTAGTAAGTAAATTGTTGAGTAAAGAAAGAATGCAAGGTCGCGCCTCGCGTACCTCTCTCGGGAGCATTGTATGTACGTATGTTGTGTAATTATCACGGTACGTCGGGTCGTCAAGCGTGGACCGTCACTGCTAACATTCACAACTACTATCGTGACTAAAATGTATTCGAGAATATTGAATAACTAAGTTATATGCACATTTATTTTATTGCATACTTCGACTTAAATTTCTGCTATGTAAAAATGAAAGGTAACATGATTATTTATTATGAAGGCTGCACCAAAAGTTAGGTAGGTGTGTCAGCGACGCGAGTGCAGCGTCCCTTCAGCTCTCGCGGATAATCACTTGTGTAGTTAATTTAATTTTAAATTTTCGCTTACTAAGTAAGTCATGTTCAGTCGGCTTGTGGATGCACGAGGAAGATATATGAATTGTAGTTATTAACTTTATGTATTATACATGCTTTTCCAACAGAATTGAATGTAAAAGTAAGTATAAAAGAATAAAAATAATATTCATAGAAACAATTCTGTGTTTATTTTTCTGTAAGATGGTAAATATGGGATATGTATTCAGTTAATGTCACAAACCTTGTTCGAAATTACGAAAATATTTGTTAATTCATAATTAAATAAAGCTTATTATAAGATATTAGTTTTATTTTATTTTTTCTACTAGATGTTTAGATGGAGCAAGGGAAGTATACATAGTGATTGAGCAACTTATTCGTCGTCAGCTGAATAACACAACTGCTGGGCAAAGGATAGGTACTTACTAAATAAATGTTTCGAATAAGTACCAGAAACAATTTCTTTGACAACGCAAATATTGTTGAAAATGGAAATCTTTATTCCTCCCATGTAATAATGAAATTGGAGACATGGTTAATACAAAAAACTCGTCCTCGCTTTCAGTAGGCATTAGCACGTTATGAATATGGCCAGAAGGATCTCTACTTTTATTGCATCAAAAAAATTCAGGAATTTTTGGTTTCATCAATCAGACTGCAAAATTATCATAAGAAATATCTTCTATCTAGTGCTCGTCAATAGCTGTTGGTGGCCATATAAGAAAAAAAAAAGAAATAATTCCTACTTATGATAAATTATAAGCCAGCGTAAAATAATTGAAAACAAGAAATTTTCTAACAAATATTCTATTTTTATGTCATAGATGGGCTAGCGATCAGACGGATTACCTGGTGGAAAGCAATCGGCGTCGTACGGACACTCGTAATAATACCAAAAGAGTTACTTGCTAGTGGTTTACCGGCCTTTTGTGGGATACTAAGTTGTTACAGATTTACGGGTAGGGATTTGAGGATATAGGATTGGGCCTCACTCACACGGTGAAACAGCTTAAGTGTTGCTTCACGCCGGCTTTCTGTATGACCGTGGTATTCGTGCCAAAGCATGGCTCTCCCACACTTATTCAGTAACATTTCCAGCGCCCTTAATTTTAACTAAGTTTAAAAAAAACTATCAACACCCACGCGGCTTCATCCGCTGCTCGGCTCCATTTAATCGTAGCGTGATGTTTTATAGCCTATAGCACTCAGGAACATTGTAGATTTGTAGCTATCTATCAGTGAAAGAATTTTAGCAATCCGACCAGCGGTTTCAAAGATTACTTCTACATACAAACTATATTTTTATTATAACTTTCGTGAGACATTCTAAATTAATTATTATGTTTTCGGCTTACTCACGTAATAATTTGCCAGTAGCAGCGCGACAGTCGCCGAGTCGCGTGTCGCGGAATGCTGCTCATGAATATGGGCCTCTAGCATGGCTTGAAACTAGTCTAGTGTCTCGTCAAATTATTACGTGAGTAAGCCGAAAACATAATAATTAACTTACAAACATTTCCTCTTTATAATATTAGTATAGATTATTTATCATTTATTTTATTTTTAATTATTTAAACGTTTGCACAAGCATTGGTGTTCAAGGTGGACTACTTAATGCCATAGGTATCTATCTTCGGCCAGTCGAACCCTTGGGTGATGTAGAGATGAGTTAAAAGTAAGTGCAAGGAGCAAGCAATTTATAACATACAACATTTTAACATAAAATACTCTTTTATATGTAGTATATCCTTTGGCCATTCAGAAAAAACAACGAAAAGGAAAGTATCATAGGTAGCACCTAAATTATTATGTCTTGAAGTAAAAGAACTGGGGCTAGAGGTAATCCAAAATGATGCTTTAACATTTACGTTCATTACATTACTGCATAACCACGATGATGAAACATTGCTAAAAATAAATTTTGCACGATTTGTCTATAATAAATTAATTTGGAAGTTTTTTATAAAATATTTTTCTTCGTATTTTTGTTTTTGTTTATTTTTTGAATGGCCATAAGATATACTTGAAGGTATTGCAAGGTTATCCATTCTTTACCGGACACCCTGTATAATATTTACCTACATCAATTTTATAGGTAACATAATACCTACATACGAGGGGCCGGAACCAACAGAGCCTTGCAGAGGCCCTTAGGACAACTTTAATACTTATTAGTTAATGGGACATCAGCCGGCAATTATCCATGTAAACACTATAAGAGTGCACCCGAAGATAATCCCCGGTTGATGTAGGACTATTGTGCAATATGTTAGATGATAACTATGGAAATACTATGGCACTTGCCCCTTACCAGGTACTTACCTATCAATATTGGTCAGGGGGTGGTAAGGTAGCCTGCCTGTTTATCCGTGTGTACCTACATACGGATAAACAGGGAGGCAGGAAAACTCAATTAATGGCCCCCAGGAAACTGCCTCAAACATTTAGCGACATGAGGGCAACAAACGTTGAACGCTTGGGGAAGGAGAGGCATCCCACGGCTATCAGCAGCAATTCCGGAAGTACGGTCAAGACACCTACCAGCATCTTACTGAGATACATCCTTCCCCCGAGTCTCCTTCAACTCCTACTTACAGCTGATTATTAGAATGTAAGAGAAGATTCCTCTTCAGAAGAACTTCAAGCGACTGGACACCATCTTGACATCGTTGAAACGGACAGCCAGATTTTAAAGCGGAAACATCAACCTTACTAAGTGAGAGCTGCCTATAATAATAGCCTGACATTTAGGCTGACAGGTAGGGTTCACCGCAATTCCAAATCTTTCTGACCAGTTACTGATGGCAGTTAAGTTGTCATATATATCTGAAATGGCATCAGTCAGATTGTCAATATTTTAATATTCATACTAATCTCAAGCACCATTATTCAGAATTTTAGAGGATGGCGCAGATTGTGTTGGTCTCACTTAAGCCGCGATGCAGGTGCAATGAAAAGGTCTACCGTTAAGATATGTACAAGGTATAACAAAACACGAGATTAGACAAATAATAACAGAATACGTCCCTAATCAGAATTAAATTGAACTTGCTCAGAGCGCCGAGGGCTCGAAATAAATAACTTCTTGAAACAATGAGATGAAACTCGGTTTAGTTTCTTTCATATTTGTTTCACTAATACTTATTTTGTTTTTCTTGATGCGGATACTGATAGGTACTGTGAAATAAAAGTAATGTGGCAATATTTTATGTTTCTATTGATATCCATAAAATTATAATGAAATAACGTGTATGACTGACCTACCAGGTAATTCAATATTTACCGGCCCGCAGAAGGAACGGGGTGGTTTTAAGTTAGGAACCAGTTGATTTTACATCATCGAAAAAAAAAACAACTATTAACTTGCTGGCTCCCCCATGTTGTTTTTATTTTTTGTTGTCTGTTTTCCAACGATATAATTATTTGTATGTATATATGTACTTACATTTGATTTCTGTCTGTGATAAATAATATACAAAGATTTAAATATCAAGATTGGTTGGTGGAAAAGCAAACACACGAAAGAGTTTGTCTTCGATAAGTTGTAATTGCTGCCCATTTCTAGTATTATCTTTTATCAATTTAGATGTTTAAAAGTTGGGGAAAAGGTTGAATCATTGAAAAACAAATTTCTTACACAATTTATTCGAACCAGCTTAATTCATCATTGTAGTTCATTTGTTTATACGCTTATATGGTAAGTAGGTAAAACGAGCTATATCTACCTAATGCAAAATTGAAGTACTTAAAATCAAATTCTAGCTAAAACTGACAACTCAGTTACTAATATAATTGCACCAAGTAATAACAGAAAATGCTTAGTAAACAACTTATACTAAACTTCCTAACTTTCTGATTCGTAAATAAAAATATAACTTGATTTAATAATATATTAATTTTGATTTCTCAAATAAATATTCAACAACTTTCATTCTCAGAAACTTCTCGAAGGTACTTTACGTTAGAATAATACTTAAAACTAAATAAAATCCATAGCGTTCTCACTATCATAAACATAATTATTATGTATAACTAGATGCTAATTAATTCCAAGGGTAGTCGACGTGACTCTTGCAGTGAGTCGGCGCATCACGACCATTACACTAAACAAACGCACACATTCAAATACCGGACCAACTACTCGCGAGGAATAATTTCATTCAAACTATATAATAGTAAAAATACATTTCTGTGTAAAATAATAGTAAAATAGTTATCTGAAAGGAAATAACAAGGAATAATAAAGAAATAAAAATATAGAATCTGATTATCTAGAAATCGCTCATGGTGCCGTTGACTACGAAGCTTTTAACGTCAGTGGTATTCCTGGAGTCGTGGTCGGAGATCTCCTCGATGACGAGGTCATCGGTCTTGACGGGTGTTGGGAGCAGGTCGAATAGTTCTCCGAGCTTGCGGCCCGTGGATATCAGTGTATTGGTGAGGAAGCCTTTGTTGTCGTTGATGTTCACGTCTGTATCGTCTTCAGTTTTGAACTTTGTATCTATTTTGTAATAGTGGCCATAGTTCTCTTCCTTGACGATGGGTGGCATGTATTCTCCGTCGTTGTAGTCGAGATCGTTCTTTTTCATGCGTTTCTTTAGGTTGGGGGGCCAGTCCTCATCGATGGGCAAGTCCACGTATCCTCCGGCGAGCACCTTGTGCGTCTGTGTGTTCTTCACGACCTGGTAGTCGTGGTCCGAGTGTGGGCGGTTGAATGTGATCAGTTCGTCCATGTTGAACTCCCCGTCATCTATGACTGTCTCATCGAGCGCCATTTCTGTAGACCAAACATAGAAATATTAATAAAGTGTCTTAAAAATGGTTAGTGAGTGAAGTTCTTAACCTACCATTTTTCTGACATGGAATAGGACTCATCCATACTAATGTTATAAATGAAAAATTTGTGAGTTTGCATTACTTTGTATGTAGGGGGTAGTCTTAGGAACAGCGGTGGTCGGAATTCGAATTTCTGATAGATAGCTATAATATTCTTGAGTATAAATATATGCTAGGCTATAAATCATCACGCTACTCTCAAAGGGCAGCGCTACTATGAAAGCGCGCGAGAGTGGCCAGTATCTAATAAATAATCTGATTAAATGTAAGCGTCTGCCAATATTGAAAAAAAACTAGCTTCACTTTAAACTATTTTACCTACAAACTTTTTGCTATATTCAATCAAGTTAAATCGACTTATTCCATGTAAAAAGTAGAGACACTTTTTGTCTGCTTTCAAAAGTGCATTGTGTTACATAAACACTGTATTGAAACTCGAAACTGGTGCAAACAATTTATCTATGGCTTTCGAAACGTTGCAATAAGAAAGTCGATCCGTGAATTCGTCCATAACGAACATCATTCTACGTAAAACACAAAATTGAAGGCAAAATGTTTATTACATTTACATAACTTTTGATAGCGTGTTCTTGACAACAGTCACGGAATTGTATATCCGTGATAATTTCTTGAAAATGAATTATTTTGATACACATAGTTACAATTTTATTTTAATGATGAACATGTACGATTTTTAATGTTCTTCTTCGCTTTTTAGCTTCTTAGCTTTTTAGCTAAAGACTGCTTTAGGAGAATAATTAAATAGGTTTTATATTTTTTTTCACAGTTCATTATTATGTGTATATACCTCCCATTGAGCAAACCAATTTTTTTATTCAAAATTAGAGGCACTCGATATTAATTGCATTCGATATTATTTTACAGACTAAACTAAACTTGTAACACATTTCATGGATCAACGCTCAACGCAAAAAGTAAAAAAAACTGTTGTAACCGGTTCAAACCAGATACAATATTAAATAACCAGAAAATGGAATAAAACAATATATAAAAAGAAAGATATCAGACCTTTTTCGTTAACAAGTTAAAATACTACACTTCTAAGTTCTAACGTGATTAGTCATAAACAAGATTATTGCGTATCCAGTTCAGTTGTGAAAAATAAAAACTAACTAAATATACATAGTTACGTAATGTGTATGCATGAGTGTGCTATCTCCTTATAACAGAGTTCACGACCGATCTATCGCTCGGGTTAGTCCAAGAATTGTAATGATAAGATTTCACGTTGACACAAGCGTGTACTTTGAAAGTTTGTTATTCTATCAACTATGTGTCAGCTATTTCTAATTATTGTATAAATAAAACTGCCTCATCTAGTTTTTCACATATAAATTGACGTGTGAAAGTGCCGTTTTATGGCCTATTTGCAAAAATAAATTCATTGTTTCAAGATATTTGTTGACCTTTCCTTGACAAAGTAAGTATTTATGGTCAATCATTGTAGGTGGTTAACTAAAGGTAATTAAGGTAAACAATCATGTCTTTATATAGTAAAATGGTCGTAAATACATGCAAAGATTATTTTAATAAATTTAGGTAATTCAAACATTTTACATATAATTTTTGGACAATCTTTTACATAAGAAGACATGCCAAGATTGTTTTCATTTAGTTAATTATCTAAAGGGATATACCATAGTATTGAGTAAAAACTTAATATTTTGTAATACATGACTGAAATCATAAACTACAATATCAATCATGATAGATGGCAAAGAGATCATAATGTATACCTATTTCGAGCGTCAAGCTATTTAATCCTGCAAAAGCCATTAGCCATATTAAATGTTATAAAGTTCATCTTATATGGTTCCAATTGAAATAAAAGATTTGTCTACGAATGCGAAAGTAAGGTAAACTTCTAATAAACTTTGTGCAGTAACTGAAACCGTTGATTTTAATGTGTCTTATATACATACGAACGTGTTTAGCCACGTTTCATTTATTCCTATGTAACTGACTCATCATGAACCTGGTATCGTCTAAAGACGTCTTTATAACTTCTATAAAACAATCTTATACTTACTGGAAGCGGAGAGAAGCGCTCGTGTGACGGCGGGCGAGTTGGCGGGCGTGTCAGATGCTCTAGGTCTGACCTCCTCGCGCATTGACGGTAAGGCCACCAGAGCTACTGAGAGCAACAGCACTAAGAGACAGGTAGCTGGCTGCGCTGATTTATTCGTGGAGCCACCCGTCACGCCTGTTAGGACATTCTGTAAAGATAGATAGGTGTGTTGAATAGATAGTACAGACTTTGATACGTGCTAAATAACTATTATATGTAGGCTTCATCTATAAGTAATTGTTAAGTTAAAGTAAGGTTCCGTAAGTTTGTAAACAGATCATAAAAAGGCAAAAATCCTACATAATTTATAAAAAAAATCTCTAAACTTATATTTATATTATGACTACATTTCGTATAACATAAATAATTGTTTTTTTATTGTACCTATTTATCCTAGGTTCACACTAGTACTAACTGTTTACCCATCTGATTGCAAAACAAAAATAATTTTATACATCGAAAAGTTTTGTGAAACAAATGTTTCATAACTGTGTATGTATGAAGGAGACCAAGATGTACACATATGTATAGTACAACGAAACCTCCCCTTTTTAGAAATTTATTGCCGTGTACAAAATAACTTGAACAAGTCTAATACAAATTAAAATAACTTATATGTCAAAATACAGCAACACTCAAAAGACAGTATGTGGTATATGTATTTTCCTCATTGACAAATGGACATAATTGTACAGTTATGAACAAGAGCTTTACCACACTTAATTACAATTGTTATTGGCCGACAATTAGTCGGATCATTTGAACCACAATTGTAGCATATTTATTGTCATTACTAGCAACTTGTGATAAAATATAACTGACCTATCTATTTAGTTTTTAATGAGGAACTTTAGGAGTCTATTTATGTAGAAACGTAAGATCAGAGTTACTTGAATTCATTGTTGGTTTTTGAATAATACCTATAGCAAGACATACTAAACCTATAGAAAATAACGACTGCACGGTGCTCATAAATAAGAGTCCCGTTGTGATTTGAAATTAGTAGAGCTTTTCTCAGTTGATTTAGCATAGTATAAAACATAAGGCGCTTTCTCTGCCCCTATATCGCAATGCATCCTTATATTTAAACATGCCCCTATATCTAAAAAAACGTACGTGCTTTAAAACTGCGTTATTAAACAGGAATGTTTATATGTATATTCACATCCAATAAAGAGTAGAGAATTTAGTGTCAGCATTGCACCCGTGCAAAGCCGGGACAGGTCACTAGTTTAGCAATAAAACAGACATGATTGTACAAAAAAGTTCTAAACTAAATAACAGACAAAACTGCATCCAAATCAATGAGGCGAATCTCCTAACGGTTGTAACAGACTATAACAATTAAAAATAAATAAAATAGCAACGCTGAAATCGTCTTGTGATTGAAACCAGTTTAGATTGACCCCAATCACCACGCTTATTGCACTGGAGCAAGGTTTTACTTGTCATTAGTTTGACAAATGGTTCAGTACTTTCGTGTTTGTTATACAATACCTATTGTGAGCGATTTGAAATGTTAATACCTCTATTGTTACGATCATGTCGTAGGTTTGATGGGAGAAAGTGAAATTACTGAAGATAGGATGACTTTATTTTTGGTAGGTACGTTGGAACATATTCTATTATTCTCAATAGAATGATTAGTAGCTAACCCTATAGATATTATGCAGCGTCATTTTGTTACCCTACGGGCTTTCTCGATAAATTGACTATCCAAGACAAAACTAATCTTTTAATTGGAACCAATGATACCGGAGATAAGCACTCTCAAATTCAAACGGATAGATAGGTTAATAATATAAGTATAGAAAAACCTTCATCTCTGTCGACCTCTTCGATAATTTAAAGAGGTGAAGTTATGTATCGTTCTAGAATACATATAACTATTACACTTTGCCCAACTTTTCTAATAATTAATATATAAGATATTTACCTGTAACCTCTTCAGTTGCGCCGACAGCGACTGATTCTGTGACTGAAGAATCTTTATCCTCCTAATAAGCGTCTGGTTTTCCGCCGTGCATTGTTTTACTCTAAAACAAGCAAATTATAATTTCCTTAATAATTTTCAAAGTCTTACTACTACAGACACTCTTATACTAAGGTAGTCTTAGCAATGTAATATCTCCATAACATCTGCAATCTATTTCTTCTTGAGAAAATATTCGCATATCAAGCTAATCTATTTTAACTCTATTTAATAGTTATAATGTCTCAATTAAAATAGATGTTCTGTTAAATATCTTAATTTGATTTTCAGTCTTATTGCTGTTGTTATAAAGTCTATTTGGATTATGTAGATTGACACGGGTGGTATTTTTATATTCATGAAGGTTTTTTAGGAACTCAGAGTTATATTTATAAGTATTGTCGTCATTGTAAAAAGATTAACTGCATTGTCTTGTGATGACGAGTAATTTCTGCTATTGTGAGTATCAAGGAAATGTTTAATGAATTACAAGTAGGAATGTTCTAGTAAAATCCATGCTACAAATTGTTACATTTTTTTAAGGTGATATTATTTAGTGTTTTGACTAGGAGGCTTGGATAAAATGGATCGCGATACTTTAATTACATTACAAAAACACATGGATAATCAAGATTACAACACATAGATAATGACTATTTTAATTGTTTATGTATTTTATGTCAATTGACAGTTCTAACACATTGGAGATATGCTAAGAAGATCTATCCTAACAAATTATGACCTACGCCTGACTATTTCCAGAAACGTGGTAGTCAGGTATTCGCATTGATTTTTGGACTTATACAAAAAAAAAAACGAATTTCTTTTTTCGCTGGTAAAATATTTAAATTATTTATGAGAATAAAATATCGGACTAAAAAAAAACTGTTCAAGAATTTTAAAATAAGAAACACAATTTTAAAAGTCGCGTAAGCAGACCGAAAATATTCAGAATGCATTATTATTTATTTCAAGGATAGTTGAATTATGCAGCCCCTACCATTTATATTCAGTAATAGTCATAGTCAGAAACATATGTTTTGTTAATTAGTGAATATTCTTATTAAATAAATTTTTAAAAAATATTATTTTATATTTAGTAAAAAAAATATTAGGCGAATTGATATAAATCTTTAAACAATCCTATACATTATGTAGTAAAAAAAATATTAATAGAATGGTGATGGTTAAGTGGTTAATTTTCAATAAAAAAATGTTAGAATGAATAAGGTGCATAATTGCATGTCTTTCAGCAAGAATAGCGTGCGGATCGCAAGTAACTTAATCTTGGTATAAGTGAAATTCAATCGTTATAGCTTAGTAATTATCTTTATAACATTTTCTAATGACTTGGAAGCTTAATATATTGTTCAGAGCCACTTTTAATCGAACTTTTACTTGTATTAAACGTTAAGTAAATAATATATAGTGTTGATACTAAAACACAGATAAAAAAACCTAGCAAAGCACTCTAAAACCTGGTCCCTAATTCGGTTTTCGTAGCTTTATTCCAAAAGCAAAACTTATAAAAATTTTGCAAGTTAAAAAACTACCAAATTAGTAGAAATTACGACTTTTTACCAAGCTTCATTCAACGCTATGATAACGAGTTTTAGGATTACCACAAATCCAAATACCAATATTAGCTTTTCTTATACAATATAGTTATAAGTTAAATCCTATGTATATTGGAACTTCTTCATACAATATACATATGTATACATAATCTTCTTCTAACTAAGTATACCTTTCTTGAGGAGAATAATTCATCATGACTTTTCTAGCCCAGGGGGAGACGACAGGAAGCGTCACACTTACTGACTAAAAAACCCTCGCTTCTGCTACTGCTCTAGACCAAGGCCGCAGTACTTTATTGTGCTTGACCCGCAACCCCGGTTATTATGCGATATGTTTTCCATATAACTAATATGTATGTGCATACTATGTTAAAAAAAGCAAATTTATTTACCTGTCTTCAAGCCCATCAACATACTCCTTCTTTCTCTTACGGGAATCTTGGGCTGAGATCTTATTTCTGATTTTACGCCGAATCCTTTTCAACTCTCTCTCTTCGTGCTTCGTAAGAGGGTAGCTGGTGGGTAGTGTGATGCCCTCCTTCGCCAACAATCGTCGCTCCTCGGCTGTTAGAACGAGACGGGGATATCCGTTCTTTCCGTCTGGCACAGTGTCTTTGTGGTCATCCTCATCGTCGCTGCGTTCACTACCTGAGTCATCTGAATGGGACAATAAAGTTAGATTTGTTTATGACAGGACAATAGTTTTTATGAAGAAGGTGTTTAGGTGCATATTGGCTTTAAAATTGTTTTAATTAACAATATCAAAATATAAATTGATTAAGAGTTGCGCTAATGAGGACGTAGACCAATCTCTAAAATACACTTTATGCCTACAGCCATAGATCAGTCTTTCATTGTCTTGCAAAAGCTAGGATAAGGCAGATTTTTAGATTGTTCAAAATCAAAATAATTTTGAGAAAGACCATTTCGCACAAGGTAGAGTTGTCTTGCAAAATGTCAAGAAAAATCCAACCAATGTGAAAAGGTATAATTTGGGTAAATGGAGTATATATTGTAATCATGGGTTTACTTGAATCGATCATATATGGCTACCCTTGGTCTCGTTACAAAGTTGTGTTGCCCCCTTGAGAATCAACGTAAAGGTTATTGAATATAATCAATATTTTTATTCCCCGAAGTAATCAGCCAAACTTATAACTTTTTATCATGTATCGTGATTTGGAATGGTTTTAGTAATAAGTATTTAGAAGCTTAATATTATTCTGTATCTGGCAATCCTATTACTGAGCAAACACGGACAAAACATCACACGGACATGGAAAAAGATGTTATTAAGAATTAAAATTCATAATAGGTCAAGGAAAAAGTTTAAACGAATTTTTCGATTTGAAATGCGATGAAAATGTAACACTAATCAATAAACAAATGACTATTTTTGGAAAAAGAATCCCTTGTTTTTATAACAAAATTAATTAGCCTTAGCCTAACAAAAACTATTTTGATTTGAAATGGCCAGTGCTGCAGAACGGCAATTTCATAGGTAAAGACATATTATAACAATAAACTTCTAATTAACTAGCTGCATCATATTATTATGTATGTTTGGTTCTGAAGTGAAACAAAATTTCGAAGGAGTTATCTTCCAAAAATTAACTTAGCAAAAGGGGCATAAGATAGATTTTTAAGAACAAGAATATTTTAATTCAAGTCTGAAAAAACTAATTTAAATTTATTCTTCATGGCGTTTATCGTTACTGTTAAGGTATATCAACGTGCCTAAAAAACTAGAGGCTAATATTAAAATCGACCCCAGCCCAACAATCTATAAATAACAATCCGTCAATCGTGACATGTGACATTTAAGAAACTTTCGTTTGAGATATATTTTCGACAGTAGACATTGAAGAAAGTAAATATTTAACTAGTCCAATGACCAGTTTAGCCGGTTGACTATGTTATGTCACAACTATGAACCGACAATTGATACCAATCAGCCATAACGAGCCAGTCTATTGGATATTAGAACTAGAATTTTATAGGCTCTTGGATTTCGTCATATATGTTTTTTTTTTCATTACGCATACTGCATATGTATGTAAAATTATTCAGATGATATTTCAATTTGTAAGACGGGTTGTAGGTAATCAGACGCATATTGGAAACGTCTGGATTATTTGAGCAAGTCTTAGAACCACAATGCATAATATAAAAGCTACTACTAATATTGTAAAGAAACGTATCTCACCGCAGTTGTTTCCATTGTGTTCGTAGTCATAGTCGCGGGCCTCAACCTTCAAGTCGTGCAGTTTGCTCTGAGATAAAAGATTAGCGGCAGCCAATTTGATGTTGGAAGCGTTCTTCAAGTCCGCAGCGTTGATGATCTTGATAGACTTCAGGTCTTTCATGTCTTTTATTGTAACTGGAAGGAGAATAGAACGAGGGTTGCCGGCCATTGGAGCAACGCGGATCACTCGTCTTTGCGGGGCTACGCTTTCAACGGGCTTGGAGTACACCTTAGTTTGGGGGTTCAATACTTGGATGTTAGCCACTTTGACCGGCTTTTGGGGCTGTGCCTTCACCACCAACTGGGGTTTCGGCGTGGTGGTCGAACTTGCCGGGATTCTGATCGTGGGCTTCTGGACTTTTGGTTGTACCGCTACTTGTGGGGTTTGGGAGAGACGCCGCTTTCTGTTGCCTTTACCTGATACATTGGGATTTGTTACTCATTGGGTCAATAAAAGCAAACTAATACTATCCATTTCCCAATGAAAATATAAGTAAGTATACTAAATCGTGCTAGCATAAATAAAGTGCTTACAATTAAGATAAATGCGTCGTTAATATGACAACATGCGCAGTACGAACTATTCTTAATATTAGTAGCATGCATTGTGTTGGGGACATTGACCATTTGTTCTTAGTAATATATCGAATGCCAAAAGAATTTCAATGGAATATCTATTAAATTTCCAGTCTGATACAATTACGTATAAATTCTTTTTGACATTAATATATTTGCTCAAGTGTCTTGAAAATTGGAGAATAGAATGCTCGAAGGTCGAATTTGAAACTCGATAAACGAAAAGAAGATAATATGTTATAGGTATATTGTAATGAAATAATAAGTAGCTCGATGCCAAGTTTAGATAAGAGAGCCTAGTGCTTGTGTAATGTTCTTGTTATTCGCGAGAAGTTGGGGGCCACGTGTGACTGGATATTTACATAAGAGTACGTTTGATACTGGGGTATCTACGCAACAAACTTGCCCGTATCCTACCTATATTTATTTATATATATCATACGCGTGTAGAGTGCAAGACTAAGTCTAAGTGCAATTTTATTTGATATATCAATTGCCTATAAAGACCAGTCGTTGGCTTTGTAACTGCGTGAAGAATTGTAGCATTTCCAACGATATGGTTATATTACTCGTATATGCCTACATAATTATCTACGCGGCAAGTTGAAGGCTTTATAAATTCATAAATTACTGTTTCCACGTGTTGCTCCCCGTGGCGTATAAATACACAAATATTTGAAGTTCTGAAGCCATCATATTAAAACCAAAGATTATATATAGCGGACATAAAATTCTAAACAGATATAATTCAATGTCACCAATTAATAAAAATTATTCTATGTTAGGACCAAAATAGCCGGGCCAAAGAGGATCATATAATAACAAGCAAAGGATAAGAAGCAGGCTACTAAAAAAAATAAAAAAAGCACCACTCACCAGGACTTTGGAATGTATTTTTGTTGAGGAATCCGGGAACAACATTTTGTTCGAAGTTCAACATGTCGAATGTGTCATCGACGACCTCAGTTGAGGAGTTGGAGACATCGCTGGTGTCCTGGATGATGACATCCTGGACATTGCCGGGGCTGGTCGGCTCCAGGCCAACGGGGGATGTCCCAGGGTCTTCATCGCAAGAGTTTTGTATCAGGAATGGAGAAAGTTGCTGTTCGAAGTCACTGCAAAGAAAATTAAGAATTAGATAAGAAAGAAAACTATGGTCTAAGATTATTTTGGTTTTGATCGAGGTGGGTTTTAGTCAGGAAGAGTCTATCAGTCCTCAAAATGTTACACCAAGAAGGTTGAGTGTCGGTCCAATTAGATATATCAGGCTTAAAACTGGTGAAAGGTGAAAAGTGAGTGTTCGTTCTTATCATGCTATCCTTTTTTACAAGGCAACAAGGCGGAAAGTTCTGTACTATATTCCATCTCAAAGGAGGATATTTTTTGGAATAAACAACAAAATTTACCTTAAAGTAACGTCTACTACTATCAGATGTTCAGACTAAAACATAAACAAGGGACGCTTCAAAGGAATATAGACCAATTTTAACAATAAATTCCTTGAGATTAAATAAATAATCGTATAACTTAGTTTAGTGTAGAAAACTCCGTTATCACACAACTACCACGTGTTGACCGTGACCTTGCCAAAGCCACAAGGTCAAATCAAACCGAATCGGAATTTAAATCAATTCTTTCGAGATGAAAACGAAATTATAATAACTAAAAATTTATTCATATATAACATACACAACAAATTTTTTATGACATAATATGTCGGGCTGTACCCGACATTGCAACAGAGGAGTTTCGAGTGTGTTGCCGACCTTTTGAGGATTAGGGATTTGGATTTTTAGGGATTGGGGGAGGGGAAGGATTGGGCCTCCGGTAACCTCACTCACACGGCGAAACACAACGCTGTTGTTTAACGCCGGTCTGCTGTGAGGCCGTGGTATCACTCCGGTCGAGCCGAACCATTCGTGCCGAAACTTGGCTCTCCCACACTTAAATTTTATAGCATAATTATTCTACGAAGCTTTGAAAAGCATATCAACTTTTTCGCATAATTCGTTCATAATGACCTCACGCACGCAAATCCATAGAGTATTCGGAAGTTTGGAATTGTTATTTTAATACGATGCGTATAGGGAAAATACCAGAGGCCTATGACATAAGCGTATATCCCACTAACGCGTGCCAAACGTTTACAAACACCTTATCATATCAAAGCCGGTATAAAAAAGATAATTAAGTATGGTAAAACCCGCAGACTAGACCGGCCTATTAGACCACTCCGATTTATCTGTTATCATTAATTCAGTACCTGGATGACTGAGCATTGTTCGTTTTTTTTTTACAATTACTGAAAATTAATTCTAGCTTGATCGATTTCCCTGTTGCCCCCAAAACATCCCTTTATTTATAAGCTTAGTACTAGATTGTATGAAAATTGTTGGAGACGTTTCCGAGATTCAAACGTGCATACAAGAATTGTTCGTTTTACGATAAAATATGTGTATAATTATGTAGCATAGCATGTTGATCAAAAATAGCCTATTTGTTAATGGTAACAAAGTTCAACCAAAACGGTCTAGTCGTTTTTGCGTGAGAGAATAACATTACGTTCATCTACACATTTATAATATTAGTAGGATATATAGTTAATGAGATCGAATTGATTCATTAACAGCCCCTGATTGCTGCATAAGAAAGGATTTCCAAAATATAATCACTGTTTGAAAAGCGCAGTTTTACTGTAAAATGTGTAGTCATTTAGTCAGCTCTAAGCATACTCTAATGAAAAGTACAAGGTGGTTTTCCAAATCTTTTGTACATAGCTAACCACCATCTCGACATTTCTCTTAATATTATTCACGTGTTGTCAGTAAAAGGCGTTGTTTATGATGGCCGATCGATTTTCTATGCACTTGACATACATTCGGAAGTTCTACCGCTTTTCCGCGCTGACCTAACGGAATTCCAAGCCAAAGCACGACACGACACAATTAGCTTTTATATTATAACAACGTGTTAAAACGTTAGCATTTACTTTATAGCAAAATATGTTTAATTTACACAATTTTGTTTAATGAAAAACCTCTATTATTTCTAAGAAAAAAGTTTATGAAGACTTTGAAAGTAACGAGTCTCATGAAGATGATTTTTTTGACATGGCAACCAAGGCACATACGCACATAGAAACGATCTACGATCAATGAACCGAGACTTATTTCGTGTGGGCTCCGTTTCTCATTAATCTGATATCTCTGGAACCTTCACAAGTTATTTACTGACCTACTGAACGGGAAAGAAAACGCTTATTCATTATGAATTCTCTTACAAAACTGGATGAAAATCCTGTTGGAAACTTGGAATGCTGCCAAATTTTGCAATACATTGAAGGAAGAAATGAAAGTGAAAATAAAAGGAAATAAGTAATAAGGGATGAATGTGCTATGAGTTAGAATCGATAGAAAGATGTAGGTTACAATGTCTTCTTGAAATGGGGTGAATTGCTGTGTCAAGGGCTGTGTCGTGCCGTCTCCTCCTTTTGTGAAGCAGTCATGCTCGCAAAGAGAGAGGCGGCCCGCGTGAGGGAGCAATCCTCCTCCTCACGCCCCAGCAGCCGCAACTGGCGACACTACGGGCGTCGGGGATCGAGGGACGATCTCCGGCCACCGTAAGTACGGGCCTGCGGTCGGCGAGTAAGGGCAGCTCGCCGCCCGACCAGAACCAGGCCCGAGCGTACGGCGCGTAGCGTTCCGCGCGCACCTCAAAGAGCCAATAGACCACCACAGACGGGGCCCTAAAGGGCTGATGTTCAGCCGGGGTTGCGGGGTAAGCGCAATAAGGTACCGCGACCTCGGCACAGAGCAGGAGAAGGAACAGGGGGGTTTTTAGTCAGTAAGAGTCTGACACTCCCTCCTGCCCGGCCCTGGGCGGGAGAAGTCATTTGATGATTTTCCCCTCACAAAAAAAAAAAAAAAAGGGCTGTGTCGTACGGCTGATTTAACGAAGTATTGTAGGGGTCATTCGTTCGTTGTCCGTTTAAAATTTGCAAACTGTATTTGTATTGTTTGTAATAAAGTTCGAGTGAAGATGTTAAAGAAATTAGACATGTTGCTTTATGTACTTACTTCTGTTTGGTTATTTATTTATCCTTCATCATCATCAGCCGGAGAAGGTTTAAGCATGAATAACCACGCTTGCTCAAGGCGGATTGGCGATTTCAAATTTATAATAAGAAATTATAAGTGCTGGTTTTACACTACGTTTTCCTTAGACATATGATGGTGTCTAAAATTAATCATAGATAGTATACATATGTATATTATGTTCCTGCAAAATGCAATTTTCTAAGAACTATTAGCACCTATAAAAACCAAGACTAATGTGAAAATATGTGCTTGTTTTAATAACATTATTTTCTGCGCTTATCAACGGACTGCGCAACGGCTTTGAGCTAATAATCGTTACGGCGCAAAATTATACATAGACAATCAAAACAACAAGACTTAGCGAAAGAGATATGGATATTGCATTAAAAATCTAGTTACTAAGATGAATATATACCTACTAAATATAATTAAATTCTTAAAAACACTTTCTCAGAACTGACAATCCTGATCGAAACATCGTGTTTGGCAATCACGATTTAACTATCAGCCATTAAGAAGAAGAGAGAGACTAAATATAAGTGATGACGTGTAGAATCCATAAAAGCCGATACAGTTAAAAGCTGAGCTGTCGATTTTAAGAAGGGGGCAAAAACTGATATCTATATTGAGCCTACCGCAAATAAATAGCATTCCTAACGGCAGGAGAGTGATGAATCATTCCCCCCATTGAAAGCCGTTCACTGAACAAAAAAAGTTGCTACTTAAAACTTTGCTCGGTTCGCTCTCGAATTTTGACGGCATGTCAGGAAGTGAAAGGCAAATAAATATGATATTTCAGACACACGTAGGCATTGCACGACCGCTTTGGTGCTTTCCAGAAGCCTCGTATCGATTGAGACAACACCTATATGTAATAATAATATCGAGATAAAACTTATTTTGTTGTTTACCTACTATACCAAATTATCGGCAATTATATTGAAAATTATCTTATGTATAATAATCTATTTCTGTTCGTTAGACTAGCTTAACCTCAAGAACGGCTGGACCGACGTGGCTAATTATGGTCTTGAAATAAGTATTCATGGATACACGGAGAAGGTTTAAAAGGTCAGAAATTACGACTAAATAAAAAATGAGATATTTGAGGTGGAAAGAATGTTGCCGGATCAACTAGTGATAGTAGTAGTGACACAATTGGTTTACATGCAGTTAAGAATTTGCAAAAAGGGATGGTTTGGCTAGACATAACTGCACTTGCCAACAACTATAGAAGCAATTATCATTCTCAACCTTGTTCACATATTTTACATTTTTAACATAGATAAATATTTTTATAAAGTAGAAAGATAATTTGGACGAGCATTGAATGCACTTTCTGTGTATTTAGGTTATCAAAGTATTGCGCACTTGGCGATACGTACGAGTTGTTTTCACTTCAACTCATATCTTGTCGCAGACGTGTTTAAAAAATATTCTTTACAACTTATAGGGCGTTCATTATCTATACGATTTAATATCAATCGTTAGTACTATACTATTTTTATAAACTACGCAATTAAGATATATTGATTTGATATAAACGCCAAGGCTCATTTGCCGATGTTATATTGAAGGTTAGTAAAACTTTACCTAAATCACGTACTAAACATATTACAGGTGTATTGTAATCGTACTATGAAACACAAACACATAATTATTATTAAGGAATGATTCATATATTAATGTTACCATTATGTGTGGACAAATAATTTGCTATCAAGATAAACATTGGAAAACTACAGATTGGGAAATAATAGCTCGCTTATCGCAGAATTGAATATGTGGTTGCTATAAAGCAATATTTGCCAATGTTGAATGAAATCAGCTTATCAACAGTTAAAAGACGTAACATTCGGACGGGGAATAAGCAGGAAGCTATGAAAAACACATATAAGAACTCGGAACTTACTTTTTATTGATTACTTACTACTTTAAAGAGATGTAACCCTGAATAAAGGACATCAACCCAAGAAAAGGTCAAGTAAAGGGCGTCGTAACTTTTTCTCCATACCATCTTTAGAGTGCGCAAACAATCATGAATTTTATCTGAACAATTTATATGATAAGCGTCGCTGTAAATATTACATTACATCGTGTTGTTTCTTTGATACTATAAAATAAATTGTGTATCAGTTTAAAATATTAACAAATGGAATCAATCTTTACAAGCAAATTGCCATTATTATTATTATTTGTATGTCTTTACCAACCACGGGACACAGGGTCCCGGACTTTTGGAAGGCGTACGAGGGGCCGAAGCCAACTCGCAGAGGCCCTTTGAACAACTTTAATATAAGTGAAATGGGACATCAGCCGGCAGTTATCCCTGTATGCACTATAAAAGTGCACCCAAGGACAATCCCCGGTTGATGGAGGACTATTGCGAAATGTGGTAAAAATTTATAAGGTTATGGGTATGGGTTGCTATGGACTAGTGGATGAAACCTATGGAAATACTATGGCCCCTGCCCCTGACCAATATTGATACATATATTATTGATAAGCATCCGTCTTAATTGACAATGTGGATAGTCGGTCATTCCGCTTGAAATAAAGTTGAATGTGCTGCATTATAATTATGATTACTGTACTCGACGAAAAATGAATGAATGTTATTTATAATCTACAGAGTAATAAGTGTGGAAGAGCCATCGTTCGACACAAACGGGTTACCACGACCTCACGGAAAATAGGCGTGCTCAAAATCCACTGCGTTGTGTTTCGCCGTGTGGTACCAGAAGATCTCCGAAACCCTAATTTTCAAAAGGCCGGCAAACCACCCGTAGCTCCCGGATGTTGCAGAAGTTCAATGGCGGTAGCAAATGCTTACCATCATAAAAAAAATTATAGGCACACCGAAACAGTGTTTCCTTAAGAATCCCGCCTTGAAACCTAGTCGCGTTTATGACTATACCAACAACGCATTCAGTAAACACAATTTAATTGTTATATCACTGTGGCAGAAGCGGATTGGTGCAGATAAAACCTTACGTGTTACACGTAAAACAGAAAAGATGGCTGATGAAATAAAGGTGAAACGATGACGACAACCTTCGACATTCTCCAATGACTCATTGGTCTGCGGTAAACATTGATTCAACTCCTTGATTTCATTTACATGTTACGTTTAAGACTTTATAGACTTAAGTACCTGACAAATTTCTTCAAAATGAACCCTTTGGATAAATACATAGAGATGTTTCCGGAGATTAGCAAGTAAAATTAAAATATTTAGCGTAGGTACTCTTTTTCCATTAAAAAACAAACGTTACTTACTGTAAACGTTCTTAGGTGGGTGAAAATATGAATGTGAATCACACAGATATAAATGTGTTATTGGTTTAACCTAGAAATGCCCTTTAGTCAACCTGTATAGTTTAAACAGCGTGTTACATATGAATAGTGTGTTTTTCAAGCGTTTACACGGGTCTTTATAAATGTGCTATAGTTATTGATATAACATCTAAGTATATTATTTACTTATTTACGTAGATACGTTTCTACACGTGCTGACCTCAATGTAATGAATGTAAACCAACCTTTTTACTTTGTTTTCTATTTAATCGTAGGTAATATGTGAGAGCATGTTAGCGTTATCAGTTTATTTCTACTATGCATATTATTTTATAATGAGGAGATAGTCTCAATGAGACTGCGATACGGCATCATTTTAGCGAAATCTTTCCAAAGTAAATAAAAGAAGGCCAATAGAGTATTTCTCAGAAAATAAATTAATTTTACTTTAAAAAAAGAACTAGCGAATATTTAATTCAAATAATCTCCATAAACAGTTATTCGAATTACAAGGAAAGAACTGTAATTAATAAACACAAACCTTCGACTAAACCTAAGGTGATAAAAAAATTGTTTGCACATTTCCATAACATTATCTTCTATAAATAAAGACAACACTAAAATCGGGCGGTAAGAGAAACATAATTAAAAATTGCTTGATACATAAAATATACGCATCCTGACATAATATGTATAGATCTTTAACCTTTGCCTATAAAAAAAATTCTTATCGCGTACAGCTTCGTCGCTTTTGGCACTGATTAGAATACTAAACACAAAGTGTCACTAACATTGTATACTTTACAAAAATAAATTGGTCACACGCGTACCATTGCATCAACAGACACTTGAGTCATTGCCTTCATAACGGACCTATGATTGGAAGCAATAGATAAAATGTGTTGCCAGCTTCGTGCAAATTACGGCTTACAATGCCGGCTGACCGGCCGGTGAATGGCGGACATTTGAAGTTCAATTTCTTCTTTTCAACATGACACTTCTAGTACTTGTGTAGAGTTATACATCATTGGAGTTCCCGTGCTTTATGCACTTGATTATAATGCCTTAAAATGGAAAACTTTCTGTATTTAACATCGTTTTGAGGTTATTTTTTAATATTAGTCATATCAAGTGTAGCGACAGCATTTAATGAAAGTATTTTTTGAGTCAGACTAACAACTTTCCTATTCCTAAATGCTTAAGTCCGTAAGCATTGCAATGCCCAGAACTGAACACGTTTTTGAACATGTTTACGAACGCAAGTCGTCTCCCAAGGTACTCAAAACCTTGTTCATTAACCCGAGAATAGGTTGGACCTGTCGGACGGCTTTACGATTTGATAGTTTTATTAGCGCAACGCTAAAATGGGCTTTATTATACGGCAATAGAGTTCCTTGAACTTGACTTAGCGGCATTTATGACAAATATTAATGTGTTTGTGAGAGAATCACTACAAATCTGCGCATTTTTTGTGTTACGAAGCAACGTCCACTATTACGAATGTTTTGTAACAATCCAATAATCTTACTGCGGTAAGCGCGTTACACTAATTGAATTTTAAAACTGGCCTAATTTAAGTACCGTTACATAGGCCTTATGCGGGTTGTGAGAGACAAGTTGAATTATGTAAAGGGCTAGCTCATAGCTGCCATATTATTATATTTATAACATTTTTCCTTATTCTTTTGGAAGATATCATGTAGTCCTGGCCTGGCTTTATTTGGGTGTAGAATATTTCGTATTAGGACCTATAACCGGCCAAAGTCTGTACTTTCGAGGAGTAAGGTGCAAGTGTTATTTACGTTAAACATTTCCCTATTGTTTTCCTGTGCATTATAAATAGCATAATCATTTAAAGTCGCGGTACAAAATGGCGCTCATATTCTTAGTAATATATTCAAATTGAATAAAACAGTACTAAAGGAAGTCTGTTTCCAAGCCAATTACTTATCTGGCGTAACACGGACGGAGTGTAAATGCGTTAGCGTACCTAACTATAGACTATAATTCAGCATTTACGTACTACAAGGACGGTAGAAATGCTTGCATTGTTCATTAGTAATCATTGTTTCTAACTGGCCATGTTAAACTTGTTTTTTTTCAGCATAATGCCACAAACCACAAGGTAACTTACTTTTTTGTAATTTAACACGAAAGGTTTTGTTACACCGTATTTATGGTAGTCCAAGCGTTGCTATTAAGGTACTTAGTTGCGTCTGGATACCTATCGGGTATTAGTTACACTCACGCAACAAGATTGACTATTATAATAGGCGTATCTACGCTTATTGGCCTAACTAAAGATAGGCCTAGGGTTCAACATTCATCTATAAAAGCAAATGTACAACATTTTTGCCTTCAAATTTTAATTACATAACCTACAGATATAATTCTCACTGCGCAACTTAATGACATTACGTAACATCATTATGAAAATAACATTTAAAAATGAATATCAAAATTGTGTTTAAAGTCTAAACAATAGCGATAATGAGTGCTTCGTTGCCGGCCGGAATAATGAGCTAACATCTGTCTAAGCAATTTGTATGATCGAATAAGTAAGCATTTTGATTGAGTATGCAGAAGCTATGTATTTTGCTGATAAAATACTTTATTTATATATGTCTATGCAACTGACCGACACGGGTCAATGAACTTAACAATTACGCAAAAGGAAACTAGATTAATGAGAACGTAGTAAAGCTGGAATAGTTTATTTATTGTTAATGGATTGGTAGATCTATGAGTAAATACAAGTTTGGATTGTTTCTCGACCTTATTTTTTTTTTTAAATGTATTAAATCTAACTAGAACTTATGGACATTCCAGGCTTTCCTAACGTCAACGTCTTCCTAAACCTCGTAGCTATGATACGATCTCCTAAATACTCTATAGACTTTCAGGTATCTAGGAACTAAACATGGGTATCACCAGTCACTAAAAGAACTTCAATTCTGTATTATCTCATGCTTTAGGCAGATATTAAGAGAACAAATTAACCCACACACAAATGTTTCCCTTTCAGTCTAAATGTCTTCAATTTAAACCAAAACTAGCTATGCTCGCGCGGTTTCAACCGGTGGTCTTATTGGTCGTAGCATAACATCTCATAGATATATCTTCCTTGATAAATAGACTAACAAACACAAAAAGGGTTGTTCAATTTGAACCAGTAATTCCTGATATTAGCGCGTTTAAACAAGCAAACAAACTCTTTAACTTTATAATATTAGTATAGTTTAAGAAGTATAGAAATGACTTACAACTCAGCCGGGTCACTGGAGAGTCCGCTGTCCGAACAAGAGCTGCTGATGGCCTCCGAGGGTTGCGACACATTCTCGCACAGGTTGAAGTCCGGTATAGCATCCTCGAGGAAGTTAAGCGATCCCTGCTCCAAGGAGAATATGTTCTCCAGCAGGTCATCGGATGTCGGCCAGGAGTCCGACTGCAAAGAGAGACGGACTTTAGAATAATAGGTATATGATTCAAGATACAAGACTTCAATATTTGTAAGGCTTTATTAAATATTTGGGTGTAAAAGTGTTTAATTTCATTGTACCTTATGGGACTTATTAAAAAACAGAGTTTCTCTTGGCCAGTTTTTGTATTTCAAATTCAAAGTAGGTGAGAATAAGATTCAAAGTGCAAAACCTGACTCAATGGTTTAAACTTAGACCAAAGATAAATCTTAATTTGTAATTTAAAAGTAATAATGTTTTTTATTTGACTTCAACAGTCTAGATCAGGTAACATGAAAAAATTGACATGTGTTTTAGATTTCTTGTTGATTCTTAAGTCATACAAATAGCTCATCTACCAAAATAAATTTCATTTAATTTAATTACATAATTCAGCATACATTGGGGAGTTAAGTTATTTATTTGTTCAAAAATCTTTCATGGAATTAATTAATCAGTAAATGTAATCAGGGCCAGTTGATTACACTATTAAAAAAACTGGAACAGTGATGTTGCATTGTGAAATCACACATTATTATGTGTAGTCAAATTATGTGACAGTTGAAACTTCATGCTTTTGCTTAATACACAAAAAATATCAATAATTTTATTAAATGAGCTCTTGATTATGAACAAAAATGAATCCTGTATTGGAAAAATCCATCAGCCTAGAAGTGCCCACTGCTGAGCAAAGGCCTCTTCTCACATGGAGAAGGTTTGAGCATTAATCACCATGCTTGCTCAAGGCAGATTGGCGATTTCAAACTAAAAATTAGAAATTATATGTCCAGGTTTCCTCACGTTGTTTTTCTTCACCATATGTCAGTGATGTAAAAATAATCATAGTAAATACATATAATTCGGAAAAAGTCACATTGTTAATTGCAGGTTTTATGCATGAGAAATTGGCACCTTAGCCAAAGTACAGGAAATAATTTCTTATTTTTATTCATTACTTAAGTGACTAAATCAATATAATCTTTTGATATGTACTATGAAGGGAAAGAATAACAAAACAATGCAGGATAATTATTTGTTTGCAATCAGAATTTATCATTGCACAACGCTGAAAACATTTTAATCACTTTATCCTCTGACTGATGCAATAAGTGCACAAAACTCATTAACCTACTTTAACTAACAATGTTATTATTTAGTATTAGGGGTGAGAAACAATACATAAAAACAGGCTGCAATCTGATGATATATGTTACTAAGCTGTATTCCTCAAACATTTCTAAATTTTAAAACTTAAGATATTTACAAGTTAAGTTTTAAAAATCATCATGTATTTCTCTACATTTATTTATATTAATTTCAACTTTTTCTAAACTCTAATTTCATTTAAAATTGTATGTAATTTAAGTTTTTAATTTAAAGAATTGAATTAAACCATTCAGCAGGTAATCGGAATAAAAGTTCATACAGAAAAATAAAAAGAGGGCATTTCTCATAAGAAACTCCATTCCCACAGAGACTTTTGTAATTATAATGTGATATTACTATACATTAGAAAACTCAATATCAGATTGCTATTAGAAATCTATCCAAAGAGACTGTAAGAAATCAACTCGCATGATAAAATAAATAATTGTGCAGACTTCTAAGTGTTATCCTTTATTTTGTATTAGATATTCAATAATGTATATACTGGAAGAATAGAGTACAGTTTACAAGTTAAATCCAGAAGTAAAGCCAAATAAGTAAGATTCTTATAAGATTCATAAGTGTGTGAATTGGTTGCGCTCTTTGCATTTTATACTACTTTCATTTTCTCGATTCACTGAAGCCTTGAGTGAAAGGTAAAATTAAATTTCTTATTGAAATGTTCCATATAATATTATTTTTTATCTTTAAATTATCATTATTATTCATGGAAATTAATCAAAACAAGGTTTTGTTATCATATTTCAGTATTCTACACACGGTTCCTGTATATTATCATTTACTTTTAGATTTAGATACAAGTTGTACTGATATCATACATTATTTTAATTGGTATAGTTGATAATTGTTTCTTAGTGGCCTTGTTAGATAATAAATGCTAGGCTTACCACCCCAAGTCTAATAAGAATATAATATTTTTTATAAATAACACAAATAAAAAGGGTAAAAACCAAAATTACCTCAAAAAGAGACATTAAATCTACTTTTTTATCCATTTTAGACACTTTAAACTTGCATGGAGATTACATCAACACAATTATCATTGGTGAATCACACAAAAATGTTCATTTGAGGAAAATTATCACTGAAAATTGTTTTCAAACACTTTCAATCACACACTGTTTGTTTCTCGTAACTGTACTTGTGAAGTTATGCGGTCCACCAGTGAATACTTATTAAAATTTAAGCGGCATATGGAAGTGATAGCGACCGCATGGTGCCTAGGTGGCAAATTACACCTTATTTACGCGGCTTACGGCCGGCGCGACGCGACACTACTCCGTGACGCACTGCCTAGAATGAAGACTAAACCACAACACAACACGCTAGTTAGGGGAAACCCTCGCTCCAATTACCGAGTATTAACTAATTAGATAAGGAAGACACGGGAATGTAAAGTTGCGGGCACCGCGAGTGAGCTACGTCCGATCACAAAACCAAATGAACGTATAACGGTAAAAGTGGGAGCGTGAGTTCACGAAAGCTGTTCAACGAGGTTCGACAATCGCCCGGCGATCACTATTACTTCACCGCTCGACCAGGGCACCGCGCTTACATTCTAACTGAGTACCGACCCGGTTCATCACAATATCTGTAGAAGTGCGATACCTTATCAGCATACAGATTATTAAAATTGTAAGATACTAACCATTAGGCCGTCCTGTTGAAAATTATCCATTTTAACAGGGTTCTTATTCACTTGTTGAAGCTCGTGGTCATTTCTTGTAAGATAATCCAGGATCCTATTCACATCGTCATTGTAAAGAGTCATTTTGATCTGACAAGATCCACATTGAGGTCATCGTAACTAACTGATCCTATTACAGGCACATTTTCAATGGTTTTAACACACACCTAAGAATTATTAATGCTTTTTACTGCATTTACAACATAATAATTGATTTATAATTTACAAACATTGGTTTACAAAATAAAAAGCGACATGACATTTCTTCCCAACTTCCAACGTGGAAATAATGACGTCATGAAAGTGGGACACTTAACAACATTTGATTGGTCGCCGTCTACGATAAAACAGAACAGGTAATGTGGCTTACTGCGCCATCTATGATAAAATGGTTGTACTAGTAACAACAGCGTTTCGTTGTCGTCGTTCAGTAGCAATGATTGCAATTGAAAAAATATTCTTATTTTTTACTTAAAATAAATAGCAGAATGATAATACGTTCTATATTTCGTTAAAGAAGATAGTTTCTCGTTTGAGAATTTAGAAGATAAAGAATATTGCTGCAAAAGTAATTCATTTATGACATTTCGTGTCAAACAAATGTGGCGGGCTGATAGCATTAATTTGATTTCTAAATTACCTATTTTATTAATAAAGTCCTATAAAAACCTAGAAATATTTGAGAGTATTTTTATTTTTTAAATTCTAGGCCCTATTACAATAGCGCGTGTTTGTAAAATGAATTTCTATTCATGTAGCATTCTGTAAAAACGTACCTAAGAGGAACGTACCTACCTACTGATTTAGATGTCACAGTGGTGACAGTGGGCATGAGCCTGTGACTCATAGATTTAGATTCATGCATAGTACTCATAGCCACTCATAGGTTGTGATTACCTACCTTCCTTATCTACCTTCGCAATAACGTGAAATATGAACCAAGGCTTTGGTTGGTTAGGGCAGGTTTTGCAGCCTTAAAAATATTGTAGGCACTAAAATACAACAGCGTTGTGTTTCGCCGTGCTTAGGTACCTAATAATATTATTTAATTTAGTAGGTGCATAAATTAACTATCAATACATTAGGTATACATATTAATTGTATATCAATTATACATTACACATCAACTTTTTATTCATTTTACCTAGGCAGGTAGGTACGCAGAAATCATACTCACATATTTAATTTTTATCAATTTTGTATAAAATTGCGTGAACTATCAAACCTTATTAGCTTATTACTGAAAGTTAACTAATAGTTAAATATTAAAATGATTGAAAGTACAAGTAGTATGTACCTACAGTAGAAGTAGGTAGTAGGATAGTAGAGCTGCAGTAGTTTTACGACTACATTTTTTTCATAAAATGAATTTTATTGAAAACTAACAATCTTTTATGTTTGACCTAACCAAAGAGTTTTTAAAAACTATAAGTACCTATAGGTAGGTTCTACTCAACACTGTAAAATGTGGTCCTGTTAGATCTAACCTATCTCGTCGGTCTGTTGAAACTTTCAATAGTAATTCGAGATACAATAGAAGATCAATAGGTGTGCGAAAGCCGGCGTTCGCTTGGTTTGATTAATTAGATTATACTACGGCAGAGCAATATTATTTTTAGCGATTGCGAGTGCAGATATTATTATAGTGTACAACATTATACCTATCACGCCAGGAGAAGTGACAGGGTGATTTCTAGTCTAATGCCCGGTTTCCGAAAGCCCGATCTAGGTGTCAAATCTCTTGTCAAGTCATCTGATTGGTTGTTGATAATTCAGTCAACCAATCAGATGACTTGACAATAGATTAAATTGATTTTAACATTGATCGGCCTTTCGGAAACCGGGTGTAAGAGTGACACTCCTTGTCGCGCCACCTAGGGGAAAGTAAGCTAGAAGTAATTCCATGGTTTTTCCTAATAAAAAGAGGCACTATAAGTTTAGCGGAACTTCCTTCTGTTTAGGTACTGTTTCCACTTAGATAACCACATAAGAGAGTTTATCCCATGAAAGAAAACCTTTAATTTTTGCAGTAGCTACCTAAAAGCAGGAGATAGTGGCCCAATTTTTCTCTAAACCTTAAAAGTATCTTTTGTGGCACACCCTTTATGCCACAGTAACACGTTCCATTAGTGGGAGACACGATGAAAAGATAGTAAAGTGTAACACGCTGTATATGTCGGTACCTACTCGCAATAAAAAGATTATTTACACGACCAGTTTCCTTTATGCGAAGCGGATCCCGACAATGGACGGGGAAAACCTGTATGACGAAGTGGATTTCTTAAATTAAATGAGATTTGTGAATACAGACATTGATTGATATTAGTATAAAAGGAATGGGGGAGATAGATACTTACCTATATAAGTAAGTACCTACGGCACGTGCGAAGCAAGTTTTTGCGACTGACTGGGATCACTCGATGACCGGTTTTGTAGTGGCCAGCATGTTAAGCTACTCCTTACTAACAAATTTTTGATCCTATTTTCACCTTTACCAAATCGAAATAGAGTCGAAAATCCAATGAAAAATTATTAACACATTGGAGTAGGTTAATCTGCTGGCCATTGTACATAATACTTACCTATGGAGGTTACCTACGTACAGATAGACCATCGTGAAACGTGTCCCGGTTGCAGCTATTATGATTGTAAATCTGTCTCTCAGCTTGATATCGGAATTTATTGTTATTCATCTCCACTATGTACCTATATCCAGGATGAACGTATGGATATTCTAGATGTATAGGTTACAGGTATGAAGTTTGTGAGTTAGGTTAATTCAATTCGATCCTAGTTTCTCTCTAGCTCCTTCACGCCCATTATCAATGCATTCTGAATATAACCTTTTTAATTGCGCGAGAAAATCATCATAAACGTCACCATAAAGCGCTCGCATATACTTAGGTTTTTTTTAAATAACTTTGCCCCATCTTGTGTTTTACTCCTGTGTCGTAGGTGCGTTTTCAAACATACGATTTCACATACACATCACACCCAGACCCGGAATAACAATTTGTGGATCACACGAAGAGCTCCGTACAGGAATCGAACCCGAGATACGTTGCGTAGCAGCCAGTTGCCCAGCCACCTCGCCAACCGTGCATTCAAACCTCCGTGGCGTGAAGCGTAGATTCTTACGTAAATAAAACCTCCCTGGTAGGGTAGCCTTATTACATATATGACTGTGTCTTCTTATAGATCTACTCCGGAGTTGGCACCTATTATAGTACATCACTAGCTATATAGATGTGCGTCTCCCTTGAGCCTCGCTGTCTGAATATAATGCACAGCAATAATTGGAGTGATTTAGCCAGTTTGGAATGCCGAATTTACCTATTCTGAAAACTTTGATAGATTAGGTTATTACTGTAAGCCGCTCGAGTTACTTACATTCCAATTAGGGAGGCAATTCCCATTTAGTAATAAATGCATAAATGTATTTTGGATTGTAGGTACTACCAAATTAGATTCATTGTTACATAACGCAGATTATCTATGAGTTTCTAGCCTAAATGGTGAATTTTGTTGTGGTAGGGTTGCAAGTTGTTTTGATAAAATTAACCCGATTTAGACTTAATGTCAGTTGTTAACTGGTAATATTATTTGTAACGCTGTAAAAGATTTAAATTCAGGAGTACCTATAAATAATGTATCTTTCTACCTACTTATGTATATTGTATGTTAGAAAACTATTGAAATTCGCACCCTGGTTCCACGTCCACGTTTTATTTTCTCTTTTGCGGCGTACATATAAGCGTGGACACGCCGGCTACGTGAAAAAGATTGAATCGTTTAGAAAAATATTGAGGACTTTGTAGAAAGAACACACTAGAATATCCTGTTGTGCACCGTATGCAAAAGGATCACTGAAAATACGAAACACACGGTGTAAATAAAACGAAAGAAACAATATCTGTGAAATACTGCGAAAGGATCTGAAATTTTCGAAATACCTAGTACCGACATAAAAATAAAATGTGTTATTTGAAACCGTGTAGGTATTTTCTACTGTGGGAGTGGAGGTTCTCAGTTTTTTTTAATTAAACCGTCGCATCCACCTTATCATAGTATTTTCACTATCGCTACAAAGAATATCCACCTTTAAAGTAGATTTATGAATGATGGTAGTAAATACCTACAGTATGAAAAGGTAGAGATTAAGAAATATATCAAAATATTGCCTCTTGATATATATTTAAAATACAGATTATAGGTACTATGTGGTTGTAGCTGTTATTAACAATTTAATGTGGATCATACTTTAAACAGTTTAAATGTAAGATCAACTTATGTTTCTGAACAAATTACCTAACACCGAAATAATCATAAAAAAAACTTTTTTTTAATTTACTCGTGAGCAATAACTCTCCACACAAGACACAAGTGGTCTACATAACTAACGGTATTAACCGTTGGTGAAACAAAAATACATCGTTTTGTCTCAACCATAGTTGGTAGTGGTTTTTATGTTCATTTTTTGCAAGTATTTTCGAAGGAATTAACGTGCTCGAGGTCGTTGCCTCCATGTGGTATGCAATGAACTTGTATGAAGTCTGAAATTTACAGACTTTTTTTGCATGGAAGCACAAAATGCGATACCGAGCGAATACAGCCGAAATTTAAAACATAAATTGGGAAACTAAAAGTTCCATCCACCGGATCGCGAATTTCGTTAACTGGTTTTTGGAATAATAGTTCACATTGCTAGAGTATACGTTTGCTTATGCTGTGAATGTTATTAAAACTAGCCGCAGTATAGAGAGGCACTAATAAGTTTTCTATTCTAATCTATGATCTTTTTTGTAAGGAGTCCAAAGGATGACGAACCTGGCGACTGGATTCTGAACACTTAATTTGTTAAGGTTTGTTTAAACCGCAAGAACTCTATACATAGCTCTAGTTTCTATTGTATTACACTAGGTATAGAAGAAGGTGCTTACGTATTTAATTAAATTTTGGTCATCGTGGCCGCAACTTGGCACTCGGCTTAACCACACTGCGTCTGTATTCATGCCCTATATGATATATGAAATTATCTACTATAATTTGCTCAAGGCAATACATGTTTGGAATTTATTATTAATGTGTGGGTGGGTTACTCTACTAAGTAGGTAGGTATGTTTTGGGTTTCTTTGTGCTCTTTGTGAATTATGTTGGTATTACAAATGTTGATCGTAAGTAATATTTTAGTCTATTTAGGTACAATTATTTAGGTTTCGTTTTTTTCCGTAGCAACGTTACGTATAAAGCAATTTCTTTGCTATTTTATGAGATTATAATTTTTTATACCATCATAACAAAGTGACTAATGATAGTCAAAGAAAAAAAGAGTATTTAATTAGTTACGTTCGTCACCGACCACATAATGTGCATAAACCCAGCTAGTTAGGCTTTCTAAATAATTGTAACATCTTACCAATGATCAGGGGTACAAGAAAGATCACACTTTACATCGCAACAGAAATAACAATTATTCAAACCATTCCAACTTACATAGTTATCAACAAACTCCAATAGCCTTACATATTCAGAATTCAGAGTAATGTCTTTATGTCGACAAAGTTTTAATATATGAGGACTCGAAAACTTAGGTAATACCTATGTATTTTTTGTTACGACCCAAAAAAGTCTTTTTGGTTGATGTAATATTAACCACACGCTTCGATGTTTTAGGATATGTAAAGAGCAGTAAGGTACAAAATATCTTATTTCACGAATCATATCTGTGCCAGCATTTTATTAAGGTAACCTTTGCTTCACAATGTAGGTAACGAGACTTCAAATTTATCTTTCATCAATTCATGTAAAATTGTTCATATTTCTAAATGTTTGAGAGGCAGTGCTGCATTAAGCATGCGCGCGAATCGTAGCTTAAGTTCCTAGAATCAATGTTTTTTCCAAATTTCAGGTCATATAGAAGGTTAGGTTGTACAGGCTCCTTTTGGACTAAGGCTTTACTTTGAATTGAGCTATGCCACAATCCTTGCGTTCGCCAGGCGATTTAGGATTTCAGATTACAGTAAGGTCATCGGAATTTTAGAGTATTCTGGTTCTAATATCCGAAACCTTAGTGACTGGCCAAAGGGCTAGCAGTTTTAAAACACAGCTACTTCTACCCATACCAGGAGGGTTCCGAAGCACAATGGGAGACCGCGGCCTCGGCCTAGACCAAGAGAAGGAACCGTGGGTGGAGGTTTTTAGTCAGTAAGAGTTTGACACTCCCTCTCGTTTCACCACGGGCAGGAAAAGCTTTTTAAAGATTCCCCTCACAAAAGAGCTAAATATATTAATCCCCGTTCTTTCTTCTGCTTAACATCGGGGTCGCGGTATATATATTATTGACCTTTCAAGTTGTTGCGCGTAGCTGCTATATAACATGGTTAATCCGACTTCGGCAGAAATATGCCACAAATCAATCTCAGGTGATAAAGTATTGAAACCAATGTGTGCGTTCAAAAAACCTTCCAGAAATAAAATATACATCTTGGATCAACGTCCCAATTTCTTTAAGGTTATTTTAAGGCATATCTATTACGTAGGTACAAAAAGTTACTTTTAGATCACCTTATATTGAGCCCTGAATTAGTTCGATCTTTTGTATAATTTTTAGGAGAAATCCCTGAAAAAGCTCCAACTTTTCAAGTAGTATTTTCATCGACATTTAAATTTGAATATAATTAGAGCACATGTTTATTTATACAGACTTATAATAGACTTCGTCTAGTCTAGCCGAGTGACCTAATTCTATTCCCATTTAAGTGTTTCATAAAAAAACAGTTCAGTGGCTTTCTGAAAACGTCTTTTTTGACCACTTATTTCTCAGTTGCCAGGTAATAATGTAATTCACATTCTTCTACCTAGTAAAAAAATACTGTTTTAATGAAATCACAGGAAAACGTTTGTTGTTCCTGGTGTACGCAACCACAATACAAAATAAAATATTAGTGCTGGGCATGTGGGCAACGTTTAAAAAAATCTATTTCGTTGGTCAAATGACAAATCAAATTTTTTTACTTAAATTATGCATGCTCTTTTTAAAAAATTGCTTTTGCATTATCCATTTTCGAATTTATAAGAAACTGGATCAGTACCTATTTAAGAACAAATTTCAACAAATAGAAAAAAGAGTTTTGGACCCATTCTATAAAACAATTGAACCACAAGTAAGTCGATATTAAGTTAAACGGACATCGTAACATATAGCAAAAAGTGGTTGCGTTGTAAATACACCGACGTCAACCCGTTCAAGGACGAAGAGATACCTATGACTAGGGTAAAACCTCGATGTCTATTTATTATACATAAAAAAATTGAAATGTGTCTATAATAAAGGAGGAGGCCCAATCGTTCCCCTCCCCCAATCCCTCCTCAATCCCTAATTCTCCAAATCCCTAATTCCTAAAAGGTCGGCAACGCACTCGTAACTCCTCCGTTGCGGGTGTCCATGGGCGGCGCTAATTGCTTACCACCAGGTAACCCGTCTGCTCGTTTGCCGACTTATTACATAAAATTAAAAAAAAAATAATAAAAGGTCCCTTATACCCATTTCAACAAATGAAGATCGATGTTTGATCACTTATTGATTACTTATTCATATCACCCCAATGTTTTGTCCCTAGTGCGACCGGAATTGAGTTAACTGAGCACTTTAGGAGTAGCCTTTGTAGGCACAATGTTTATTTTTCAACCCCTATAATGTAATGTAGATGCGGCTTGCAAAGAAAACATGACTTCATTGGGCCTTTGACATTTAAATTAAATTTATAACCGATTATTCGATAGGTACTACATTTCACAGAGTCTTACTCAAAATATAGGTATAAGAAACTACGTGTTTACTATTCTTGAGTTGTATTGTATTTATCTTTGACCACCATTAAGTCACTATCTTATATCTGTATTTTTATAATTTACTTACTATTTTACCGAAATCAATTTATTAAATCAATCAATAATTGTTAAACAAAACAGTGTTCAGTCTAGTCGAATAGGAATAGGTTAGATAACACATCTTTTTAGGCCAGTCTATGCCCTTGACTAATACTTTCAATAACTTATTCCGTCCGCATACCTACAGTTGTTGTTCATAGAGGTTTTTAGCGCTGCAGTCAGCCTTAAGATTACACAACATTCAATTACAATATATTATTTTACGTGAACTCTTCAAATCAGTGAAGCTTCTAATTATATAGGCTCATAATCACTTAACTAGCAAGGTTCAACGAACTAGACAGTCGTATCGATCACTTTATATTCCCACTTGCTAATTAGGCCAACTTGAAACAAAAAATCAGCGCACTAAAATATTAAGCGATACAAAAAAATATTTACAACATTCAAATATTAAAATTCGAGACATTTTCCCCATTTATGGGTAAATTCCCCGAGTGTGGCAAGGCGGCGGTCGTCTCGGGCTCCAATCGCGGCGAGCGCCCGAGAGCAAAGTAGCAAACCAACCAGTCAGCATCACGTGCGCGGACGTGACGGCCGTGTTTCGTGCCGAGCCGACGGATTATTCACGCGCCATTTGACAGTTATGCCGTGTCCTGTAATGACTGTAGTGCATCATAGTGTAACGTAGTGATTGTTGCTGCCAATAAACAAGTGAGGAATTTGCCATAAAAACGCATTTAGAAAAGCGTAAAGTGATAACAGGGAGGCGGGATGCGAGAGGTGAACGCTCGTCACAGCGGCGCCGACTCTCACCGGCTACTATTGTCTAAGTGCCACGGAATCTTGGTCCTTCCCATCGGATTCCATCGATGAAGCATCCGCCTTTCGACGTGGGCTGCACGCGAAATATTTGCGTCGGCGATTAGTCACAAAACCGAATGTTTACATAGGGAGCCGATGGATACAGATAAGATAAAAACTTGTCTTTTGATAGTAGGTTGTCTTTAGTGGTCAGAGTGTTTTTGTTACTAAATAACTATGCAAATTATGAGCTAGTTTGGCATGCGATTGCTTGATAAATTATTGTCGATAGTAACTGTAAATAACGCCGACAGTCTAGGTAAACGTGCGAGCAGTTGACGGTATGAGTGGCCTACTTTAAAAAATGCAAATATTAAAACGAGCTAATTATCCGCGACAAACGTGTGTATTTTGCACAGTACCGTTCGACTTATTGTTTGTAACATACAAATAATTTCGCGGTGTTTGTCGTTCTTTAGTACAAACAATAATATTATAACAGTTCAAGTGTTTCCTTCAATTAAATAAGTGTCAGTTGGTATGTAATATTGTATCATAATGTATTTATACGAGAAATGTTGCAAAAAGTGCATTGTAAAAAAATGATACAGTGAATGATTGGATGGTCTCCGGGGGTAATCTGTTTACGATAGATAAACACAAAATAAACATAATAACAAGTTACTGACATCATCTCACAACAAGCATACAATAACAAGCGTTCGCATGATATATCTATTGTGCAGCAAGGAGGTTATCTTCCAATGTAACTAATGAACATTTCTTAACAACAAGTGATTTAATGAATAATATACACGCGTTAGCATTTGTTGAAATATTGAATTTGTACAATTTAAATGCGAAAATAATGAAGTTTATCGATGAAATGAAATTGAAAGAAAAACAGTGAAACCATTTTTCGTTAAAATTATATCATATGGGTGTTAGAAAACCTGTGAAAATTATATCTAGCGCACAAAGTACCTACACACAGAAATGTTTAATTAAATAGGCAACGATATTGTTACATTAACGTTAAATAATACTGATGGCAAAATGTGAGCCCCGGCCTCCTCACGCGTTATTAATAAATAAACAAAAAAACGTATCCTTTTTGCATGAGACGCACCACGCATCCATGATACGGGCAACAAAAGCGGTGCTGATACAAACCACAATTCCATTCTACACACGGGTTACAACAGAAAAAAACAAAAAGCAAACAAAACATGAATCAAGTCAGATTCTAAATTATTTACGTTACTTTTAAAAAGAGAATAGGAAACCGAGCAGACTCGCGGAAATGATCCATGTCTTGTTTATACAGAAAAAGGCAAACGTCAGATCCTATAACAATGCTCTCGCCAAAGTAGGTTGAAGTATGCCCGATGAAACGCACTGTGATTAATGGCCGTCCGGTGATACAGTAATAAAGAACAGCATAACAGAGAACTCTGTCGGGGTCCACACATTTGTCCTTCATGTATACTTGACCTACTTATTGTGGAAGTATTGCCAAAGGCCGTACGCGCTCGTCCAAGTTTTAATTTGTCGGAAACTGATTTCCGATTGATTGCTAATTTTCTTGCACAGTCATGTTAGGAAATCTACGTCCATCGGTGAAGTCATCACCCTTTTCCCTCCTATGGCAATTCGTAAACGAGTTCCATCAAGTTTACTCAATTACATTATTGAAGGAGGTGAACTATGCAGTCCACGTCTAAAAAAAATTCATAAAAATTATCACTACGTTGTTCTATTTGTGGCAAGATTTTCTCATTATGTAGTGGTTTGCTAATCGGGAAATTTCTTTCAGTAAAGAGCCATGCGAGGATCCGTATGATCAAAGCCAGCAATTATCCTTACGTTACAACAATAATTAATAAAAAGAATTAATTCGAGACAAGTTTAAAAAAAAGTAACTCTTTGGAAAGTGTATGTGCAATGCTGATAAGTACTAGCCGGTGAGTGTGTGAGTGCGTGCGATGGCGCGAGGTGCCGTGTTATCGTCGACCATCTTGGTGTCAATTTTATCAATATTGGAAACAACATTTGCGCATTATACACCTACATGGGCCGTCCATATACCTGGAGGGAAGGAGGCCGCGGATGCAGTGGCCAGAGACTATGGATTCATCAATTTAGGAGAGGTAAGATATTTCTAACGATCACCAAAATAGCTCACTGAGTTTTCCTCACAAACTCCACCGTGTACTCAATGCCCATTTAATTCTCAACAATCTTTTCATACAATAGCCATTATCTCGCTTGTGAAGTCACTTACAAGGAAATAAAGAGCTAGGTACTCGGTTACTAGGACAGTTTGGCACAGTACATTTGTTACTATTTCGATAAAGGAAATCCGGACTTGGGTGGTCTTACCTCAAAATAGGCATAATTACGGTTGTTCGAAATAATTGCGTCGGTATCTTCTTATTCGTTTTTAGTTCTAATTTTGAAATCCATTAACTCGACCGTTGGGGCCAGTATTGTTTTTTTAATTATCAATCAATTATTGGTAGGTACTTCATTATCCGTTGCTATTCAAACCTTTTTCACTGCGAAGGTATGAAAATTCGGAACAATCTCATCTAAGTTAATTTATTTAGTTCGTTTGGGAGGCTCAAGAAAAACGTTGAACCTAATTGGGTATACTATTAGCTACGCAAAATGTAGTTTCCATGTCAATGAATCCAAACCGGATTAGAGACCCACTATTCTGTAGTTAAAACGGTCATTGCCAGGTTCCAAGTGTACTGGTCTAACCTTGGGTGATTCATTTTAATTCCAAATCAATGGTGCTCATTCTATTGTTTTATGAAACAATCAAAACTGCGTTGATTGGTCAAATTAGTGTCAACGGCTTTAAGTTTTTGTTTCTGGCTCTTGGCAATGGCCAAGTTATATTTTGGCAACACGGCTAAACTTATTGTTGTTTCTTCCTTTGGTTGCGAAATTATTGATTCTTAGAGAACCCAGCAATCGTTGCGTAATATAAAGGTGTTAATCGATTAGCCTATTCATAAGCTACACTGATTGTGATTCGTATTTGTGCGATTGGTACACAACGACGATTTTTTTAACATGTTAGGATGGCAAACTAGCAGACGCATTACCTAAAGGTATGCAATCAGCGCCGCCCATGGACTATTGCAACAACAGACGAATTACAAGTGCGTTGCCGACCTTTCGGAGATTAAGGATTAGGTAGGGGTAGAATTGGGCCTCTGGTAACCTCACTCACACGGCGAAACACAACGCTGTGGTTGTTTCACGCCAGTTTTCTGTGTGTATGACGATAGTAGTTAAATGGTCGTAGGGACAGCAAATTGGTAAAAGTGAGCGTGGAATCAGGTAACAAACAAACCGCATCGTTAACACTGCACTGAGATAAAATTAGTGTGTTATTTCGAGGCAAATGCTGCGCACTCATGTTTTGTGTTGTAACAAGTACAACAGATTTCAGGAAATGTTCCATTTAGCATCGCCACCTACTTCACCACAATTCACGAGCTTTCAACATCTTCATAAACACTTTGCTTAAACATGCAGATTAATTGTGCAAATCCAAACATTTTGCATGCCACGCCTGTAATGGGTTGAGACGGGAACACATTTTGGGGTTTTCTTAATGGCATCTTATAGAAGTATAGTGTAAGTTTGCTTTGTTGATTTTACAAAAAACAGACTTTGGTCGTGGTCTTTCACAAGAGGTGAATGTTAAATCTTAAAAGGGTAAAACTGAAACCGATACTTACGATGAACTTAGAGAACACAAACAAGTAGACTTTATTTGCTGTTACACGATACAAATTTTCATTCTTAGAGAGGTTTTGAAAATATTGATTGTAAACTTCTTAAAACTTCCAAGCAACGCCACGGTTAGAAAGCACTCGCATGCGAAGCGGGGGGACGAAAATAAACAGGAAATTTAAGTGAGCACAGTTATTTATTTAAAGCGACATCTTCATTTGGAATTTCTTCTGCTTATGGCATCTATTTATAACCCGGAGATGTTCCATATATAACGTACATAAAGGCATGAAAGAAGCAAAACACATTAGTATTTAGACGAAATATATTTGGAATTATTAAGAGAAAAACACGCCGTGGCTTAAAATGCCATTCGTTTCACAAGATTCCACTGTACTATCTTGTATTTAACAAATACAATATAAACAAAAGGCTGATAATGCTGCCTTGCTATTATTGTTACTAAAACAACGTTTGTGCGATGCCAGAGGGAAGAATGGGAGCTTTGAGGCACACGGAGTTGAGGACAAAAGGGGGCTGTCACTCGAGTCATCGCTTCCATGTATCCGATAACAAAATACTGTCGTTGGTACCAGACCTGAGTGACGACACATACATTCACAGACACATAATGGCAGACCTGACGTCATCAACAGTATTGATAATGTTTGCGAAAATGTATCTTATGGTTAAAGATTCTTAATGCCAGTCGAATTTTCTAAATAAAGTATTTTAAGTGCAGGACGTTGGTCTTTGTTATGGGTTGCCTTGCTTGGGCGATCAAGCGAGTATCGTTAGCGAGTTCATATGCTTCATACATATTTACGTAAGATTTGGGACAAAATATAGCGAGAGCTATTCGGGGTCAGTTAATACGTATCCCATTTTTTCTTACATTATTCATTTTTTCTTTTGTGCCCCATTTCGTTCCAATACAGTAGGTACTAGTACCGAACCTTTTTAGCAGCACATTGATTATATTTTCGTCCGTTTTGCATAATAAATCGTGTTTCATACTTATAACTAAATGAGTTATTTACATCATTCTGAGAAATGGCGTTGACTGATTCAATAAAGATAATTTATTTTTTATATACCAGTACTTAAGTAACAAAGGAAAAGTTCGTCGTAAAATTTTATTTTAAGACGTTTTGATTTATTTATAACATTATCACATGTACGTAAACAAGTTGCAGAAAACTCCCGACAGAATGACTAATGGCCATATTGTCTTAAGGTTATCTAGGATGTGGTTAAAGGAACTTCATTTGTGCTACATTTCTCTTATGTTAGCACAATTCATTTTACACTCGACCACTGAGTCATAAGCTAACTATATTCTTCAAATCTAGAACTCTGGAGAACCTTTTTTTAAAAAAAATGTCCTTGAAACGGAATATTTGATAGAATCACACAGGCATACATTGCTCGGTTGCTTCTGTGTTGTATTGTTCAGATAGCAGACAAGATGCGACAGACAGTCTCTGTGTACACACACATCTGTATATTTGTCACTAGGTGCTACTATTAGTGTCATACGACTGCTGCGAAACACACAAAATATCTTCTTACCAACAAATTTACGAGGGTACAGCAAGAAAATATGTTTTACTAGCTACTCTAGCGCGGTTTCACCCGCTGCTCGGCTCTATTTAATCGTAGCGTGATGTTTTATAGCCGATAGCACTCAGGAACATTGTAGCTATCTATCAGTGAAAGAAGTTTCGAAACCCGATCAGCCGTTCCAAAGATTGCCCCTACATACAAACTTACAAATTTTACCTCTTTATAATGTTAGTATAGAATAAACACACTTTCACCACTTAAGTATCTAGTTTATTAGTTCATAGCTTCTGATGTCTAAATGCATCTGCTAATTGAAAAGTGGTAGTTTTTCTTTACTAAATGTTAATTTCTCCAAATGTCTTTATCGTCTTAAATGTTTCATTAGCGTTATAGAAATAACGGAATATTTCAGTAATGGTAAATTCTTCGACTGAAATGTATGGCGACATTCTAATGGGTTAGTTGAAAACTATTTCTGAAGACGTGCAGAAAGATTTATTCGAGTTGCTGGTGACAAAGATTCGAGTAAGTTTTAGGATACTAGTATTAGATGTAAGACCGTCTGGAGTCACGTGCCGACTGCCTGCGTTAATCGCAATACTTTCCGATTGTTAGTAGATATGGATAGACTAAGTGGTTCTTTGTTTTCGATATATAGTAGTCATAATCTGTGGAAGAATGCGCTTGTAGTCTTGGAGTGAATAGAAAGGAACACCTGTTAATAAAAAGACAATGCAGACGGCCTTGCTAAAAAATATTCAATTTATAAAACAAATGACTCAGCAAAAACAGCATTTTCGATAAGGAATCAATAATCTACAGTATAATAACAGACGGGTCGGGACGCCAACTAAATTACATTAACACATTCCAAATTCGTTTCGCTATTCAACTGTGTCACCCTATCAAATATTGGGGTTTACCTTACATAGGATTGCCACGTGCTTCAATAACTATAACGGAAGGGCCTTTGTTGTTGGGAGGGACCACACCTTTTTACTTCCAATATATAAGTCAATTCCACCTAATAGAGACATCACCTTAATACGTGTTTCAAAGGACTTCAGAAAGACCTAGTAATGTATATGTGATTTTTTCAAATGAAGAAAATGTATTGTTTCCATTATGAGTCTCGTAAAACCGACAACAAGAGGAAATTACCTTGAGTTGTGAATGTATTTTTTATGTTGGAGTTCATTATTGTTTGTTTCAACGTCGCTCGCTTCCGTTAGTACACAAGCCGGAACGTGCACTCGTCACAACTGTCGGCCGGTTGCCAAAATGCGTTGGCGCCGACGGACGGCGACATCAGCGCAAGCCGCGGAAACGGGCCGCTGGCTTTATTGTGCGAGTCATTCACTCTGACGCTTTTAAATACTTTTTAGGTAATTAGGATGTGAATGTCAACGCTCTCGCGAATTTATGTTTCGAACTACTCAAACATATGATCTCCAATAAGTACTTGAGAAACTTTCTCTTTTACCGACTAATAAATGATAGTAATTAAATTACTGCCAGTTACAATTTGCATATTCTTTGTTCTGAGATGTTAGAACACAACACACAAAGCGAACGGATCAGTGCATTCCAAATACTTAAAAATGTTCGTCTTTTTTAATTTCTAAATTGTATGAATGCACTACATAACTTCCAAAACATTGTTCTACTTATGTCAAAAATATTAATGAGACTGTGAGGTACCCAATTCATGTATGAATAAAGTTCGAGTCACGTTATTCACACAAGTGAGCTTATCAATAAATCGTATAACTAGCAAACGTTGAAGAAGTTTGTAAAATTTAAAAAGCAATTGTGAAAGATTCTCAAACAATGAGCGCCCGTACGGAATGAGATTTGGTTTTCATTCGAATCCATTCTGCAGTCGAATGCGGGGTGAGGACGGGCGGGTGTCACGACTGCCTTTTGTAAGGGGCAATCGTCGTTGCCTTAAACGTTCTCCCTAGCAAGTGGATAGAGGGGAGGCTGGAGGCACGGGGCGGAGGGGCATCTGCTTTTGTGTGTCCGGGGCTTTATCTTCAACCAGCCACAAACACAGTCTACAATACCCGGCCCCGGCCTCCGCTAAACCGATTGCATTAACTCTACTAAGAAATAACTGCTCCGCAACGACGAATCACAAAAGATATTGCGACAAACCAAAAAGTTTCTTTCGTTTGCCATCGGAACCGCTGCGGCTAATTTAATTAAAAACGAATCATTCATCGTCAGTGCCAAAATTAGGTTTATAGAAGTTCGTTGAATTCCGAAAACTGTAAATTGCTTTGTTTAAAGCAAAAGCAACATTTTAACTTCAATTATTAACTGAACCGTGGCCACTTTTATTGGAATTCGTTGCACTGCATATCAATTAACGGTCATCAATTTCATGTCAATCAAAATTTCATAAAAGTCTCTATTTACAATATTCTGATTATTTGAGACAATTTTTAACAAAATGCTTTTATAATACCATGCTTCTTGGAAAGCCTTCAAAGGTATTAATTAGTATTTCAAGCAATCTATTTTTGGGCAGCATAGATATGGATTTGTAGATAGATTCAATCAGGTCGATAGGCCTTCAATTTACATAGATCAATGGCGCTAAAATTTAATTTGGACAGAGCGGACTCGCGGCCTTTCAGACATTGGTTTTACAGTGAAACATATCCAGGGAAGAGATTCTACAAAGATTAGTTAGATAGTGAGGTTAATTAAGAGGTATTGTTATGTTTAAAGAGGATTACAATTGTTTCAAACTCCAATTTACTGTATTGATACTTTGATCTCTGATAATGTCTTTATTGTCTTAGCAAGATCTGAGCTTTGGGTATATTTTCTGTGGAGTATTTGCCATATTTGGTTCCACGTTACATACCCAAGTTATACTTGAATAAAGTGTCATTATGCTTTAATTGGAACTATAACTTCTGTACGCCATCTTTGAAAGGACCATATTCGCATAAACCACGAAACTATATGGCTCTTGTACAATTGCAAACACGAGTCTCCTAATGAACGTATCCACTGATTGCTTCATTAGATGTCTCGTCGTTTTGCTTGTTTCACTTTTATCTCACTTAAGAGCTTACGAAACAAACAAACATATCGTTAGATAGATAGGTTCAATGAGAACTTTAACTACCACAATTTATTATTGTAGGTTTGCCAAAGTTTTTATTAGTGTTGAAAGTTGCCTCTATATTATCTTCCGTATATATCTTCCGTATCCGTCATAGCGTTTGTGTCTTCTTTGCAATGTGCCTGCTTCTTCTTTGAGGTCAAAATGACCTATGTAGCGGGGATTTCTTTCTCCTGAACTTTTCCATGTATGACACGGTCAGCATCAAGTTATAATCTAGATTCTTGAAGCTGTTTAGGATGCAGATTATTCTGTATTCATGTTCGAAAGCATTTCTCAGGACTTGTGGTTGTTGCCATTCTTAAGAGCTAAGTAACAGCTGTAAGTTTAAACATATGTATCCAACAGTTTTTGTTTGGGGATAAAAGAAGACATTTTGAAAATTGAAAAACGTATTTCTACCATTATGAACAACGACAAATACACACGACAAATACTACTTCGAATTTCTCGCAGGAGAACATTAAGAGAATATTTTTGGGATAAAGGTAGGTACTTACCTAATGCTAGGTTACATAACAAAGACGGTAGACAAGGCCAAGGTAAGCTTACAAACCTTTTGATAAAAACAACTCTTTATTATGTAGACTTTTATCAAAAAGAGTAAGCGACAGATTTTGTATTCGGTAAGGTCTGGTCTCAAATTTATCTTGGCTCCGTTGACCCGGTAAATTGTCGTCTTAACTTGAGGGAACCATTTATTTGCGTTTAGTCTCGATACTAGGCTTGTCTTATATTATGCAAACGAGTTTTCATTCGGCCCCTGGATTTGGGACGAAAATGGAAACCTTCGAGCAAATCTCACAAAGAAGTCAAATCAAAGGGGTTCAATAAAGCATTTTCATATTCCTCTCCGAGTATTTTCGGCTTAAGGCAAACTGTTGTCGCATAAAGTGATTTTCTCTCTGTTATCAAAAGAGCGTATTATTCAATAGCTTTCATTTGAATTAAGTGGATCCTATTTTTGTCGATAAAACATTGAAAATTGGACTTTCCATCACCAATAAATACTTGTTTATAAAAGTATATTGGGGATTGTAAGCTTCTATTCTTCTAATTTTATGATTCTTATAAGCTGTTTGAATGTTGCGTGTCTAAAATGAATAAGTTCACATTTAAAAATAACTGGTTTCCCCCTTACATTTTGAAGGACATTCAAACTGTTGTTGCTAATTGAAAACATGTTATGTACTCGTACATATATGTATTAGGTATAATTACAACTTTTAAATTTTTAAATAGCAATTCACTCGACAAGGATAATAAAATGGAAGCTCGTTCAATTTGATGTTATATTTCCTAAAAATAAAAAAAAGCTGACGTCAAAAATCATGTGTGCCTTCGCAATTTTCCTATGTCGTTACTTATGTATATTTTTGACTAAACAATTGATTGGTAAAGTGACAGGACTAACAGGACTAAATTTTTTTCCATAGTGCAAACGACAGTGAGAACTAAACTCCATTGTTCAAATCAATTATTATTTATTTATTTTTCTTTTTTTATGAAATAGGTCGGCAAACGAGCAGACTTATTACCTGATGGTAAGCAATCGGCGCCGTCCATGGACAGCAACGCTAAAGGAATTGCGAGTGTGTTGCCGGCCTTTTGGGGATAACGGTTTCGGATATTTAAGGATTAGGTAGGGAAGGGGAAGGGGGATGGAGGGAAGGGGTGGGATTGGGTCTTCGGTAACCTCACTCACACGAAACAACAACGCAGGTTTTTTCCCGCGGGTTTTCTGTCAAGCCGTGGTATCACTCCGGCGCCGAAGCTTGGCATTCCAACACTAAAATAAAACTTTAAATTGTTTGTTTAAATTACTACGTCACCTGTATTAAGCATTCCCGGAATCTTCCTACACCTAATTTGTGCGTCCATTATTAAAGTTCTTAAAGGATAAAATCATCATGGCTTTAATCACAAGGCAATACAAAACAATAATCGTAAGTAATAAAAAGATGGTCGTGTTGTCAGTATGTTAGGGGAGCGATTACGAGCCGATAATAAGGTGGTTCGACATTGGGTCGAGATGAAAAAACTTGTACCTGCCGTTGTCCTAATGAAGGTCGATGTTGGGAACAGACAAATTAT